TGTTTCATGTTCAACACTTTATGTACATTTGGTTTTATTCCCTGATTACCATCCCCAACCCTAACCCACTGTCCTCCTCTCCTTTCCCTGTGACCCCCTATCCCTGTGCCCTTCTTAGTTATGTACTCCTGTCTGTCCAGCTTTCCCTCCATGTGAATGCTGCCCCAGGGCCAATTGCTCCAAGGGGTGTATTTCGTAGAGTAGGTGGATCCATCACCCGGGGTTGGGTGTTCTATGTAAGTCTTTCTACTGTTGGGCTGAAAGCCAGTCCTTGAGCCAGTTCTATCCCAGAGCCATAGTCTTGGGGATCCCACCAGACTCCATCTGACCAATAATTCTGGATGTTATTGTGTTTTTTAATGTTGTTTCACATTTTTCCTCCCACTCTATCCAGGATCTCCAGTTTTGATCCCTTCCCAAGTGGTTGTGGTTGGCGTTGGTCACCAGGCACTATCTAGTTCTTCTGGTCTCGAGGTCCATCATATCCTAGGGCTGATTGTTTCCAAATGCCCTTGTTTTTCTTCACTCTTCCTCACTTCAGACAAACAGAGACCAATAGCTGCATCTTAGATGGCTGCTCAAAAGCTTTTAAGACCCCAGTTGATACTCACCAAAGAAGGTTGTGGAACAACATTGTTATGTGTTATGTAGTGCCAATTGAGCCTGCTATCCCCCAGTACTATGGTCCTGAGTCAGCAGACCTGATGGTTCTCTCTGCCAAGGTGTTGGGCTGTCTCTGAGGGATTACGCCAAGTCTGTCTTCTACTGCTTCTGTAATGATTGTGGTTATTTTGTATCACTTGTAGCTGTGCAAGATTATCCTCAGATAAATCTGTCATTGGTCTAGGGTATATTCTTGTTCGCTAACCCCCATCTGATCTTCTCAGTTGTCTATGCATTTATCTGTAGCCTGGTGTTTGGTGTTAATGATAATGCAGTATTGTTCATATACTGGCATTAGCCTCGTTCTCTATATCTTATGTGCACAATTCGGTGTCCTCCCTTTCCCCAATGTTATCACGCTGGTCACAGACTCTTTCCATACCATCCCTCCCATTATGCAACTCAGCATGTAGCCATAACTAGTCCAAAATTTTCCCCTCTTCTTCCTTACCATCCCTGGTAACCTACAAAGTGAGTTCCCTTCCCTAATTAAACCTTTCCTTGACTTTTTACAGTAATGGGCTCATACAACGTTTGTCCTTCTATGGGACATAATTTCATACAGCATAATGTCCCCTAGATTCATCCACATTATGAGATGATTCGTGTATCCCTCATTGTTCTTTAATGTAGCATAGCATTCCATTGTGTGAATGTACTGTAATTTGGTTATCCATTCATCTGTTGATGGGCATTTAGATTGTTTCCATCCATGCTATAGTGACCTGTGCTGTGATGAACATGGATGTGCATATGTCTGTTCATGTCCTGTCTCTCACCTCTTTAGGATATTTTCCTAGTATGGAATTGCTAGTTCAAATGGTATTTCTATTTTCAGTTTTTAAGGAAATACCATGCCATTTTCCACAATGGTTGTACCATTTTACAGTCTCACTAGCAATTTATGAGCATTCCAATCTCTCTACAGCCTCGGCAGCATTTGTTATTTTCTGTCTTGTTGAACTTTGCTATTATTGCTAGGCTGAAAATATATTTCAGAATCTGTATAAATCTCATTTTTATTTGTTTTTCAGAGTTGGAAACATTACAAAAAGTTACAGATATATTTTAACATTGAATGTAGTACTTATTACTAATGATAAGTGTACAAAACAAAACCAGATGTTTATAAGTGCTGTTCATTATAACTCAAATATGTTGCAAGTCAGGGACTACGTGTATACAATATATCCAGAATATATACTGTTACGATTCAATAACAACAACAAAACAATCCAATCAGAAAATAGGCAAAGGATTTGAAAAGACGTTTCTTCAATGAAAAAATATATAAATGGCCGACTTGCGGTAGATGGAGGAATGGGCAGAAAAATGACACAGACCCTCTTCAACGAAGAAAAGAGAAACCAATTGAAAAAGATACAGAAGATAATCCTGGAGCCCTGAGCTTTGAGAGGAACTATACAGAAGTGGATTAGGGACCAACTAGTGGAAAAACCTGAACGAAAACAGTGAGTACGGAGACAGTTGGAGCTGTGGACTGTCAGCTACCCTGATGGGACCAACAACCTGAATATTTCCAAGAGGTGTTGGGACCTGAGAATTGACCTAAAGAGCAGCCCTGGCCACCAAGGGCTGCAAGGACAACTGCACTGGTTGCCATGACTAGGAAGGGAAACAGCAAGGAGAGAGACAACCTGAGCTGTTGACTTTTTGCTGTCCAGGGGGCGCAGCCCTTTTGAGTGTTTACACACAGCAGCCATTTTGGATATTTAAAGGGACCAAGGGTGCAGCCATATTGGGTATTTAAAGTGACCGAGGACACAGTCGTTTTGAATGTTTACAAGTGGTGGCCATTTTGGATTTTAAAGTGACAGCATTCTCATTTGGATTCCAGGGACCTAAGAAT